TCCTAGCTAGGAAGGGGGGGGCAAACCATGTGGGCTGAGCTAGATGCCTGGCCCTGGGCTGCTGCCCTTCCCGCCTCCCCCAGGCCTGGCCCACCCGGGGTCTGGGGGCAGGCGCAGGGGATGCTGGCAGGCAGAGGGAGGCCCCTGGTGTGGAGATGCCAGCCCCCCACCAGGGAGCTGCACCCCCTGGCAGGCCCCCCCTCAGCAGAGCAGCCGGGGGCGGCCCTAGCCTGACGCAGGGGTGGGGCGGGAGCTGTGGGTCCCCCCACGGCCTCCCCCGAGAGGGGACCCCGATCCCACTGCACGGCCCAAGCGGACCCCCCTCCCCCGGGTCGGCTTGGAGACTCCGGGCCAGCGCCCTGGACGATGACCGGACCTTGGTTATCCCCCCTGGCTTGGCTTATACCCGCCTGCCTCCATCCGGACGGAACGCGACACCTGGAATGAAGCCATCAGCCCTCAGGCACGGACGGTGACTACGAAACACTGCAGTACATCTGATCAAGATGGGTGACTGGAAGCACGTCAGACTTGTTCTCTGCTTTCTCAGCGTGGGCTTCTCATAGGCTGTCGAGTGAGCTTCAAGGCACTCCACGGCCTTAGCATAGAGTATTTAAAAGGGCCTAAAGTTCTAGAGTGAAAACCATGCAAACCTTTCCACTGTTGTGGCACAATGGAACTTTCTGTAATAAAGTAAAGCGCCTCTATGCAGGAGACAGAGCTTTCTCAGGGCCCAATCCAAGATGGTGGAACAATTTCCACCGGGAACTAATAATCATGACAAGTCTCACTATCTTTTGTTTCAAGTGCAAAGTGCATTTTTCATCCTGCCTCTTTTAACATAAATCCAGAGCAGTGCGTATGTTAAAAAATGTTCAAAACTCTACCAAAACACAACACTGGATTGCACACACAATTGCCACTATGTCAGATATTAGTCACGGCACTTCATGCATGACTGAAAAGTGCTTAGGTAGTATGCTGATGAGGATGATACAAGAATCTATAGAGAATAGATAGCCCATCTAAGGGCACTCCAGTGAGCTGTATAACGACACTTGGATATGTGCATCCATTATGTGATTTGGCAGGAGCCTGGCAGCCACACCTTAATCCCCGTTAAATAAAGACTAGGTCAGCAGTTAGCCTCATCTTTGATACAAAAGGAAAAACTAGTCCCAGCATGAGATGAAGCATCAGCACAGAACAAGAGACAGTGTTACCAACTCTTGGCGTTTTGCCACAAGTTTCATGCTATTTGGGGCTTTTCTCAAAGACCCCGCTCCTGGTGTTCTGTAGTTACATGAGAATCTCAGTTTTCATTTCAAAGTAAGCGAGTAGCCAGAAAAAAAATCTGACAACATGACTTCTAAAGGCTACGACATCGGAAGAAAAAAACCAACCCAAAATTGTTAATTACTTTAAAAAAAATCTCTATTTCTCAGGCTTAGCTGATGATTTTTGAACTCTTGGGGTTGCAATAATGAAGGTTATTCCTTCCTGCTGGGGTGTGCATTGCCTCCATGCTATGGATGAACACTGTTCACTTCTTATCCTGACTACTCTCTATCCTCTCTGCTCATCCTCTGTGAGTCAAAGCTCCCCCAAGATGTCCCTTCTTGCCTTCATGGATGCACCAAAAATCAATAATTTCGTTATCTCCAAGCTCAAGCCAACTCCTCTGGGATCACTGCAGCACCTCGTACCTTACTTGTTTTCAGAACTCTCCACAAAGTTGCTCCAGCCAGCTTTTCAAATGCTGTCTTTTTATATTTCCTCCCCTTTTCCTGCTGGCTGGCTAAGCTCGAACTCCTCTGTTCCTCCAAACAGACTGGCCGCTGTTGGTGTGAGAGCCTTCTCCTCTGCAGATTTCATCATCTGAAATACCCCTGGTGTTCTTTTGCCAAGTAAGAACACCTGACCAGGCAATTACAGAGTCGGGGTGAGAGAAAGAAAAAGATGGATGGCCTTCCCCATATCCTCTTGCTCGCTGGCAAACATCTCTAATCTTTCCCAAACCCTCTTTTACCCTCTCCATACTGGTGAAGAGGACTCCGACTTCCCTCCTCCCTATTCAAAGAGCCCACCCCAAGGCCCCGCCTCCCCTCTCTTTACTGTGTTGTGGCCCTGTCAATATCACTTCCCCTCTTCCCCCCCAGATGCCCTCTCCTGGCAGTCATGGGCTGTCTCTGCTCACAAGCAGTTAATGGCAGCCAGGGGCAGCTGCACAAGTCCCTGCTAGACTGGTTAGCATATCCCGATGTGGCAGTTTCCTTGTTCAGCACCACTTGGCACTTCTCTGTGCTCGTGTATCGCCTGGCCCACTTCCCTGCCTGAGGCATTACAGCAGTAGGTCACCAGCCCAATTGCTTGCAGCTACTCTCCAGGTTGCAGTTCTTCCAACACCCTGGGAGGGAAAAGCAGGTGCAAAGGCTCCTTCCCCACCCGCCCCAGTTAGGAATGGCTCACGGCTTGGCACGGCCTGTTTTAAGCATGAAGCAAACTCCCTGGAGCCCAGTTGCATCTTCCCCAGGAGCCAGTTCTGCTGAGCTGTGCGTTTGGTACTAAATTTAATCTGTGTAAAACCTCAGCAACGCATGCAGGGGGTCTGGTTACAGCGGCTCATCCAAGCAGGAGGCACTTTCCCTCCTCTCCTTTCCAATTCCTGGCCTGTCCTTTCTGCTTTTCTCCAGCCTGATCCCTCTTTGCCTTCTCTCCCTGCTTCCCGTCCCTCCTCCGCGGCTCCCTGGACTCTGCTGTCTGTCTCCTCGCTGCCAAACACTCCAGCTCCAGCTCAGACAGCCCAGGATTTTGCTCAGGGCACTGGCTTTCCACAGCCTCGAACTGTCTCCACCCCGCCAGGGTCAACTTGGATGGTAAATCATAGAAGTATAATAATGATGACAGCGCAGCGTCTTTCGGCACCACGACCGCCACAGATTGCATTGTACGCACGCAGGGGAGACTTCGTCTGCCTCTGCCATGCCAGCGCCTTGGCAGTAAAAGGCAGCAGCGCAGTAACGGTGCGATGCTACGCGACAGGAAGCGGAGAATTCTGCATCTGATTTTAAATTTAAGTGGGGCAGGATTTCACGGTCAGCAGAAGAGAGTTACCCAAATTGGAAACTATCCTGGACACAAGAGCTCATTTGTCATAACCCTACGGTTCCTAAAAGCTCCCGGTGGTTTCTGTTACCACCACATGCTTGGGATCTAGCCCTGTGTACACAACAGCGGGACGGGGAGTCCCAGGCTGCATCCTCTACAGCATGGGTTCTCAAACTGGGGTGTGTGTGAAGAACTTGTAGGGGGGGTGAGGTGACCCAGCCACACACACCCGCATCAATCGCACCCCAATTTTTGCTACTATTTTTTTGGGAGGGGGGGCGTGAGGGTTTCTTAAAAAGGGGGCGTGATGCCGAAAAGTTTGGGAACCACTGCCTACAGCATCCTGCAGCACCTTTATTACTCCATGGAGGTTTCCAGTCTTCATGCTGTCCTGGCCTGATCCTTCTCGGCATGGGGGAGCTGCAATGACCCAACTAGGGCCATCTCTAGGGAGGAGCGAGACTTTTTGGGAGGGGGGGCGTGAGGGTTTCTTAAAAAGGGGGCGTGATGCCGAAAAGTTTGGGAACCACTGCCTACAGCATCCTGCAGCACCTTTATTACTCCATGGAGGTTTCCAGTCTTCATGCTGTCCTGGCCTGATCCTTCTCGGCATGGGGGAGCTGCAATGACCCAACTAGGGCCATCTCTAGGGAGGAGCGAGACCCAGGACAATTCCCTCCCCCATGCCCTGCCCCTGCCCTGCCCCCATTCCACCCCTTCCCCAACATCCCAACCCCTCCTCTCCTGAGCCACATCAGGAGCTGGTGGAAGTATGCACGCA